AAACTAGGCTGGCAATGAATCTGTCTCAAAAAGGTGAAAAGTGACTGAGGAAGCTAGTGAATTCAAATTTTAACTATCTAAGGTACAGTCACACATACACACATTCATACACACACACACATTTAAAAAACAGAAAAATTATTATTAGAGTACTGACACTAGTAAAGTTAATAAGCTAATGAACTGTAGTGAAATAACTCACCACTCCATGCCATTCTATGATCCTTCTGTTCTTCAAAATGAAATATTTATCTGAGTTTTTCAAATGAAAAATAAAACTACAAGAATGCAAAAAGGGCTTCACCACAGCTGACTGTTACACAAAAAGAGAAAGCTTGATAAAAGACTAAAGTATCTTTATATTTTTAATAGTAGAAAAATATGTGATTAATGAGAGCATTTTTCATGGTGGCATTACTTAGCAGACATCTTCTAGACATATTACATAAAAACATAACCAAATGATTTCCCACTATAGCCTTAAGCATTTCTAGAACAAATATTTACTGAAACAGAAACATCAACCTTTACACTTTGTTTCATGAGCTTCCTTGGTGTCTATGTGAAACTATTTCCAACAGCTGTAGTAGATAATACAACTGAAATTAAGTTCTTAAATAGATGGTAAAGCAAATGCATAGTAGACGAGCATGAAAACGTATAAAGCCAAACATAATTGCACACCAGAATATATGGGGGTCGGGAATCACCACACAACTCAAATAAAAGGTGCTGGAAGTCTTGCTGTCACTTTGGAAAGAAGAAAACAAAAGCAGAGCACCTTGACTTCCTATGTTAAGTGGGTTCATCTTTCTCCAGTGCATATGCGCTTTCTTTCTGAATATGAAAGCCTTGGCTTGCCTCAATCTACATGGTTTCCTGTAGTAAACCTAGTAAACCACATTGCTTCTAGGCATGAACATGTGATAAAAGTGTGAGGGAAAGCGTTATGTGTTAGCACTCAGATAAGTCTATATAAGACAAGATGTACATTTTTTTTTTTTTTTTTTTTGCCTCTTTCTTTCTATGCTCCAAGTATTCTGGTGCAAGGGAGAGATGGAGCTCTGCCAACCACCTTGGGAAAAAGGTACTGTCTGTTTAAATAATTACTGGGTTTTTCTTTCTGTAGACTGGAAAAAATATCCTTGATGATACAAAACTACACTCCTTTTTTTTTTTTCCTTCCAAGACAGGGTTTTTATGTGTAGCCCTGGCTGTCCTGGAACTCAGTCTGTTCCAGGACAGTCTGTTCCTGGCTATCTGGGAACCAGGCTGGCCTCAAATTCACAGATCCACCTGCCTCTGCCTCCCAAGTACTGGAGTATTGGGATTAAAGATGTGCACCACCATGCATGCCCCAAAACTTTGTTCTTATATTACCTTAAGATTATGTAGTTAATCAACAATAAATGAATGAAAAATAATAAGGCCTACACAAGTCTGTACAGGTCTTCCGCATATGTACTATGGCTTCCAGTTTAGTGTTTTTATGGGATTCCTGAGTTTGTCTATTTTTTGTGCCTTCTCTTGGGCTCTTTTTTTTTTTTTTCTCTGTGTGTGTAGGGTTTTATCTTATATTTTATTTTATTTCAGTATTATCCCTCAGAAGCCCATTTGTTTTCTAGTAAGAGACAGAAAGGGAGTGGATCCAGATGAAAGGGGCAATAGGGAAAAACTGAAAGGAGTAGGGGGAGGGGAAACTGTAATCTGGATACATTATCTGAGAAAAAATCAATTGTCAATAAAAGGGGGAAAAATACCAGAAAGAAGCATTCTTGAAGGAAGTAATAAACATAGTATTCCTACACTTTCCTCCCAACTTCTAAGAACCAAAGAAAGAAATCTAACTTTTGCTTTCTGATGTTTTTGTTACCCACGACAGGGCAGTCAGTAGTATAAACAGATGAATCCATACATTCAATCACTCATTCTTTCATTCAGCAAATGCATATTAAGCCCCTACTCTGTGCCAAGTGCCAAGATGCCTGACTATCACTCTGTAACACATGGCACATGTACGGAGCTTTAAGTAAAGCGACAGTCTAGTCGAAAGGGGGCAGACAGTCAGCGGGGGAACGCGCACAAAACTGAGCCCTGCTTCCACTGAAAACACCTTCTCACCATCAAATACACAGCCTAAGTATAACCAAGCTCTTCCGTGAAAAAATGAAATCAGAACCACTTGATATTGGCTGCAACTCATCTCTGTGAGGGGAATGTTTTATCCATGGTTTAATCCCTTATGTTGGGAAAAACAACTGATATTTCATGTTCAACCACCTGAAACTTATTTTTAAAGAATGAAGTCAAACAAAAATGACCAAGACAAACAGCGACAAACCAATATCATAAAGAAATGATCAATTAAAAAAAAAAAAAAACAACCTAAAAAATTTGGTGTCCAAATAACACAGGAAGCCAGATTATGAAAAGATCTAAGTTTAAAAAAAAAAAATTCTCCTTTTGAAAATTCAGTATGCAGCTCAAAATGATCTTTAACTTCTGATCTTTCTGCCTCCACCTTCAAAATATTGGAATTACAGGCTCACAGCGCTGTGCCTGTGTGTGTATTTGGCAGTGCTAGGGACTGAATCCAGGGCCTAGCACACAATAGACAAGAACTATATTATTAAGCCATACTACAATCTCAAACAAATTTCTAAATCCTCCCAAGCACCAAATGATTTATGTTTCATATCCACTGACACAAATCAATATTGGGGAATAAGCAACTGTGGATACAAAGCTTGATGTACGTGGGTACAAGATAAATGACTGCAGCGCAACAGGCAACAAAGCTGCACATCAAGTCTGAGGGATTTATCAAGACAATGAGAGGATAAACCATCGGGGTGCAGACAAACATGTCACCTGAGGGCAAGAGAAAGTTACCCAAAAGCAGAAGGAAAAAAAATCACCTAAGGGCAGATAACAAGCCATGAACCACTAATGTTTTCCTTCTGCAATGATGTATACTGAAAAGCAGCTTGGGCAATGATGATTTTAGTATTTACAATGATCTCTACAGCTCAGAACGGTACTATACACCCAACTTTCCATGAAATAGGTGGTTCAGACACTTAAGATAAGAATCCCTAGAACAAGGTATTTCATGAAGTGATTTACGCCAATGAAAAGTCATAAAGAAATATAGTAGGTAGCACTATAAAGCAACTAGTAAATCATGTGTATGCAAGCTACAATGTAGTCATAGAATAAGCAGTACATCTGCCAAAATTATGATACATTTTAGAAAGAGAAAATGTTAAATATATTTTAAATGTATATATTCATAATTAAAGATTTCTATTCAAATATAAGTTACCACTATAGTACTCTCAACATTTAAGATACAGTGAAGGCTATTAACTTCATGAGATTAAAAAAAAATCCTGTTATCAGATATCCTTAGAAATATTCAGATTATTCTCAGGGGAACTGAAATGGTTATTAAATACATCAAAATTCAATGATGTCTACTTTACTTTTGTACCCTAGCAATAACAAAACTAATAATCTTTACAATCTACTACTTACAGAAGCTTTTGATTTGTTCTTTGGGTTTTGTTGTTGCTGCTATTTGTTTGTTGTTTGAGACAGGGTCTCTTAGTCCTGGCTGTCCTGGAACTATGTAGATGAGGCTGGCCTTGAACTTACAGATTCTCCTGCTAGTGACACCTGAATGTGGGGATCAAAGGTGTGCACCAGAGAATAGATGTCACAATACCTGGTGAAACGATTACTTTTGTTCAAACTGAACAGAGCTAGAGAACAAAGACTATCATCATTTTGTTTTCTGAAAATGGGTTTTAAAAGACAGAAAGACCAAGTTAATTTAATAGAAGTAACAAAAAATAAACCATAAATGGCACATGTTAATCTAAGACCCTATACAACTTGCCCTCAAAGAGCCTGCGAGAGTTATAGACTCCATCCATTAGTCGATTCTTTTTAACATTTTGTTTTATACATGTGCATGTGCATCTGTGTGTGCATGTCTGTGAGTGTGTATGCATTAAAAAATGTGTGTACCTGTCTGTCTGTTTCTCTGTGTCTGCCACATGTGTACCATGCCTGTGAGGTCCAAGAGGGTTCAGATGCCCTGAAGCTAGTTATAGGTGGTTGTGAGCCACCAGATCTGGCACTGAGAACTAAACTCTGATCTACTGCAAGAGCAGCAAGCACTCTTAACTACAGCCCCTCTCTTAGTAGGGAATAAAATCTACAGATGGAGTTTACACACTTGAGAAGTGTGCTCATTTTGTTATTTGCAGAGCAATTTCACAAGCCCAGAAGTTAACCCACGGCAAATACTTAAATACTAGTGACTTTATTTTCTTAGTCACACTGGACTCTCCTCTACCTAAATCACCAGAAAACAAACAAACAAAAAACTCAAAGGTGATGACACCAAAACCCATCAATTCAAGAGGCACTCTCAGAAAACAGTATGAGAGATTTTCTACTGCAGTAAAGATAAGAGGAAAATCATGAGACAGTTTCACTGTAAAAGAGAATGGCATATGCTTTGCAAAAGGTCTCCTCACAAACCTCTTCAAAAGCTATTCAAAGACAATCACAAATTGAACAGGGCCGTTCAGATTTTGCCCCCTCGGAATCTTAAGGGTGAAATCCCAAAAATGCCACACCCATGGGGAAGTTAGCTAACAGGATCCTCCTAGTTTTTGTGAGGCACAGCTAAGGCAAGCAGTTTGAGAAGAGATTAATTCTATCTGCCAAAAAAAATGAGGAGGAGGCCTGTCAATCCTGTCTGATGGAGTTGCAGGAAATCAAAGAGGCTGTACCTTAGAGACCCTGATCTTAGAAATGCAGCTCATCCCCGTTGGTGAGGGCATGAGAGAGCAACTCAGCAAAAGTGGTAGCGGCGAAGGTAAGTAAGACCTGAACCTACCGGTAAGGAGCTACGTGGCACTAAGCAAATAGTGGCTAGTCTCCCTCACCCTGGGCTTCCGCCCCAATCATCTTCCCCCTCTGGTTACCAGTTGCTCCAGATGCCGTAGAGCAGTTCCACAAAAGCGAAAGAGAGGTTCAGGCACAGGAAGAAAAACAGGTTCCGGGATGTCTTGTCCGACAGGATGGACCTGGGCACGATACAGGTGATCAGAAGCGCGCAGGAGCCAAGTGGCTGGGACCCTGAAGTTGAGCTCCCCTTTCAAGACCCACCCAGTCTACATGCTCCTTCCACCTCAGCAGGAGGGTGCCCTACCCATCCTGGACCTCAGGCCACCCTTAGCTCCCGGCTTTGTCTCCTCCTTCCGGGCAGCCCTCTCCCAGCAAACACAGCACCCCGCACCTGAACCAGCCTGAGATCTTGCCGAACAGATTGAATTTGGGTGGCTTGTACTCATCATCCTTGATGGACAGGGGCAACATCTTCTCCACCCGGAGAAGGGCCAGGCCTCCGTCCTTCTAGAAGTGGTTCGGGTATGGTAGCGGCAGTGACAGCGATGACGCCTCAGACGCGGACCCCTGAGCGCTTGACCGCGGCGGCGCACCGCCGCGAGACACAGACAGACACACACACCCGGGAACTCGGGGACTTCCGGCCCGGACCGCGCAACGCGTCCTGGGACGGGAAAGCGGGAGGGGGGCGGGGCTTACGAAGGGAGGAGGCGGGGCTGTGGGGGCTGCGGAAAGTCGGGGCTGCAAGCCCGGGGATCGCCAGCGGAGCCGGGTGTCCCATCTCCGGAGCCCACGGAGGAAATCCCCGGCAGACTCTCTGCAGGCTTGGCTGGCTGGGCCCGCTGTCAGCCACCCGGATCGCCGACCACCAATGTTCCCGGATGCAGTGCAGCCCTCGCCTGCCCCTTCAGCATTAACCCCCTGAGGACCTCGTATCCCGGTTGTGCCTGCGGCTGCATCACCGGAGGACCCAGGCGGCCACGTGCTGCGCTGCCACTGCCCGGGATGTGCGAGGATGGCTTCGCGAGGTGCACGCTAAGGGAGTGCACCCCGCCCGTGGAGAGCGCCACGCGGGACGTGGTCGTTGAGTGCCTTGCAAAAGAAACACTTAAAGGTATTTAAAAGAAGCCCTTTAGGAAGAGGGCCAAGGAGACTATGGCCTTGAGGTTCGCTTCGTGCTTTTTCTCTCCTGGCAACCTCAATTGTTTGCAGCCCTGAAGACAAACGCGTACGTGTTCCTTCAGCATCCTGGGCACCTTGGAACAGTAGCTGTCGCTATGGTTCATTTTAGGAGGTGCAGACACAAGCTGGCTGGCTGGAACACCAGGGCGAGGGACGCTGGGGATGAGCCTTGCGGGCCCGGGCTAGTAAAATGACACACATTAGGATCTTGTGTGTGTGTGTGTGGGGGGGGGTGTTAGACAAGGTCAGCTGGCCCGTCACGTGAATGATTAAAAGTTGTTACCTAGAAGGGGAAACTAAGAAAAGGGGTCTGGCTTTGAGAGGTGGCTTGGAAACTACAAAACCGAGCTTCTCGGGAATGCCTTTTTGCCTAACAGGAAGTGGAGCGTCACCAAAAGGGAGGGAGGGGTGGCCACTCAAGGGACTGTCCCCCGCTCCAGGCACTCATTTTGCGGGGCGGCGCATTTCCCAGGTTATCAATTGGACCAGCAGAGAGGTTGGCATACCGGTTTAGGAAAGGACATGAGAAAGAGGCGGGCCAAGTAGGCTCCCCTTCTGTTCTATGCTAACCAAGCTGCAAATAAACCTGCTGTCCCCACTGCAATCTTCTGCACTGGAGGTGAGACCACTTCCTTGATTTTTATTTTTATTTTCCAATTGGGATCTATGCCTGTTTTGCCCTTTTTATTGGAACTTTGTGTGTAGGAAGGATTTATTCTGTATTTTGATTTTTAAAAAATATATATCTTGTAATTAAAAAAATATGTTCATTTTTAAAAGCTGCTGGTAAAAATGGCTTGATTCTATATATTAAGTTCTAAGACAGACATTTGTCTTTCGTCTTTGCCTATCTTGGGTTATATTTCATTGTTTTCCTTAGTAGCATTTACTTTGTAAAGAATACTTTTTTTTTTTTTTTTACGTGTAGTCTTTGAATTTTACCCTACTGCATTGCTGGGGTAGCCCTAACTGGTTGCAGACTGGGTAGTTTAAGGCTAAATTGCAATTGATTTTTCTTCTTCAAGACTGCTTTATTTCAATATGGTGGTAGGGATGGTACATAGGAATAATCAAGTTTTAGCAACTGATTTCCAGCCTTTTCATCAAGGTCAGCTGAAATTTGAGCCTATGTGTTTTTTGTTCTGCCTTTGGAAATAACTGTATTCCATCTTGCACTGCTGTAAATCTGAAATTGCTTAACTGGCTTAGGGAGAAAGCCACATTACCCGTTATTGAATAGTTCTGAAATGATTTAAAGAAATTTCATTTCAGCTCTATCAGTTTCCAGAGACTCCTAAATCTATATTTCTCCCTCCAAGATATAAGAGATATCTTCTTGTGGGGATCCTCTTTCTAAAAGTGGCAGTGCTGTTTCACATCTTTAAGCCCTGGACAGTGTAATGGCCAGTTCAGCGTTAAAGGCATTCTAGTTTGCAATAAAAAGCACACAGGACACTGTTTAATCAGGGGAAGTTCCAGGCATAGAAATTGTTTCCACTGTGCTTCACTTCTTTTTGTGATCTTGAGAAAGTATCTGCCCTATATATGTTGTCATGTCAAAATTTGACTCTTTAGTTATCATTTGGTGACTATCTAGGATGCCTCAGGCTCTGTGTTGGGTATGGAGACTATAAAGCGAGATAAGTTAAAGTTCTTCTCCTGGAACAGTTTTATGGAGAGGACAAGTTCATGTAAAGAGAGGGAGATAGAGGTAAAGACAACTCAGTCCAGCATTTTAGGATTGTGTGGTGCTTGACATGAGATGAATTTGAAACAGTGAACAGAGACAGCTATGGCTCAATGAGCCTTTCTCTGTATGTTAACCCATTCCTTTACTCCCACAATTTTAATCATGAAGAAAGAAGAGTTGGGAGAAGAATGTTTTTGATCCCTCCACTCTGTTTTGGTGTCAGTACTTAGCAAGTCTCCAGTCAAATGAGGTACTTGGGAGCCACATAGTCATAGCTCCTTTATGTACTATAAGATGAAATGGCTAGGGAAGACTATAAAATAGATACAGTAATAAACATTCTTAGTAATGTATTTCTATTGTGAACTTTTTAAAGGAGAAATGTGTTTATTTCTATTATGAACTTTTAAATATTTGTCTCTGTTGTCAATTAGTTGCTTTTCGTTAATCGTGATGACTATATGTGGGGGCAGTGAGACGTGTGGTTGAAGATTGAGAGCTGAAAGCAGAGAGGATTAAAGGACGGAAATTCCACTTGGTCCAGGTCCTTTCCAATAACAGACAGCAAGAATGACAAGGATGCCATCTGTCAACCTCAGTAATCCACGCTGGCATTTGTGTGCAACCTTATTTTAGACTCCTGGTTTGTTAGATACATCAGATTAATGTCCTATGAAGTGCTAGTGAAAGTAAAGGAGTTATAGCAGTGGCTAAGGGTAAAGATGCGTGTGACTCTAGGAACTGAATAGTGATCCAGACTATATTCATGGTCCTTGGCTTCCCTTCATGATGTGCTTGCTCTGGTGTCAAGTGTGTCCGTGTTAGGTAGCTGGGGTGACCTGTGGTTATTCTGTTTCTGGACCCTCTGAGAGATCTGAAGACAAAGTGCTACAATGTTAACATCAGCCAACAAGAAAACACTGTTTGCCTTATTAAGCAAATGTAAATTTTAGAGCATAGAATAGCAATTTTTAAAAGTCACTCAAAGCATCATAGAAAATTTCTTTGATCTCTTTTGACAGTACCAAGAGAGCCTGGTTCTATCAAGCCCTGAAGCCCTAAGGAATGCTGGTATAAAATATTAGTAGCACAATGAGGTAAGTAACAGATTCTGTTTCTTAATTGTGTGTGTGTGTGTGTGTGTGTGTGTGTGTGTGTGTGTGTGTGTGTGGTAAAATACATATAATAAAATATATCACCTTAATCATTTTTACAGTTCTCAAGTATTTTTATATTGTTGCACAACTAATCTCCAGAACTTTTCATCTTGCAAAACTGAAACTTTATATCCACTACGAAGAACAAATTAATTAATTAATTAATTAATTAATTAATTAATTTAAAAAAGATAGCCTCATCCACTTGCTCCTAGCCCTGGGCAAACATGAGTCTCCATCCTATTTCTACGAGTTTGGCTGTACTAAATACGTCATGTAAGTGAGGACATATAATAGTTGTCCTTTTTGTGTGAGCATTTGTTTCACATAGTTTAACTTCCCTTTTGAGGCTGGAAAATAAAAGTTTGGTGTCCGTATATACTGCACACTTCCCAAATGGATAATTACTTATTCATCCACGGACACTTGGGAGTCTCTTTTTGTTCTTCTTGCTATTGTAAATATGAGGTTATGACGTTGGTTTGATACCACTATTTTAGCCTGAGTTTGTCTTTCTTTGTGTGTTTCGATTTTCTGTTTTATTGACACAAGGGTCTCACTCTGTAGCCCTGACTACCCAAGTTGGCCTGTTAAGTCTCAGAGAACATCCACCTACCTCTGCCCCTGTCTCTAAGTGCTTGGATTAAAGGCGTGCATCACCATATCTGGCTTCAAATTTTCTACATTGGTGTTTCTGTTTTCTTGAAACTAAATGTTCTGTCAGGCATGGAAGCAGTCCTCGCCCTGGAGAGGCTAAGCCATGAGGACTGTGAATTAGATACCAGTCTTAGCTATGTAACAAGATCCTGTCTCAAAAAACAAAAAGGAAAATTCTGGCTAGAACCAGGACCTATTAGAAAATACCATAATGCCTCTTAAGGTGGATTCACTGAAATCATAGTCCAGATTCTAGGATAAAAATCAATACTTGTAGTTTCTTCCTTCCTTCCTTTCATTAAAGTGGATGGAGGTCTTTCTAAGATTGTGCCACAGTATCTTGGCCTGTTTTTACCAGTTTATCTATGACTTCACATACACTAAGCATGCACTCTGTCACTGAGCCTACACCGGCTCCCATTACCTCTATATATGAAATACTCCTCTAGTCTGTGAAAATGCCCCTCCAACCCCGCAAGATGGGGGGAGAATACAAAGTGACTCAAGTATGAGTTAGGACTTTGATTCTGGACCACCATTTTGTCTGTGATTCAGGAAGTATTTTTCAAAATCTGTCCCAGCTGTCCCATTTACAAAATAAAGTGTCCCCCCCCCTTTTTTTCTCTCCAAAAACTAGAAATGCTATCAGTTGGAACTGTTGTATAGCATGGAGGGAGGAGGGCTCTGACAACTTCTGTTGCTATCCCTAAGCTAAGTGAGGGCAGGAGCTATGTCTGCCTCTCTTTTCCACAGTGCTGGGCACATGGTAAGAACATACGTATTTGTTGACAGGAGAGAGCACCATGGATTGTGTGTGCTTTCCCCACTAAAGTGATGCAGCCAGTCTTGATGAGACCTGATAGGCTAGGGTCAGATAGAAGGGAAGGAGGTCCTCCCCTACCAGGGGACTAGGGAAAGGGCATAGGGACAGAAGAGGGATTGTGGGTGGGACTGGGAGGAGACAAAGGAGGGGGCTGCAGTAGGGATACAAAGTGAATAAATTATAATAAATAAGTATATAAATAAAATTAAATTAAAAATTTAAAAATAAAATCCCCATGAATGTAAAAGAAGGAAGGAAGGAAGGAAGGAAGGAAGGTAGGAAGGAAGGAAGGGAAATGGCCTGTGTGGTTTGGGCTTAAAGTCACATTTTTTACTCTTTTTGTCTCTTACCTGATGATGGTGACTGCCCAGATCTTTTGTATAGGGAAACATTTCTTGGGTGCTCTCTTATGGACCTAATTTACATTCGTGTTTATTCTAATTAATGTTTTAGGGATCCATAGCAAAAATTAGGGCAATTTAAACACAGATTCCCTCAGTCCATTCAGCTATTAGGAGGTACAGCATGACTCAAACAATGAGCCAGATCCTATTATGATTCATTAAGATTGCCACAGACTTCCTCAAAATGCCACACAGTAGAACAGTGAGGTGTTCAGCAAGGTTTCAGCAAGTAAAAGCACCAGCCTGTCAACCTGAGGGCAGTCCCCAGGACTCACACAAAGGAGAGAAATGACTCCTACAAGTTGTCCTCTCACCTCCCCATTCATGCACAGGAAGGGCCAGTCCCCACTCAAAATAAAGAGGTAAATCCACTCTGGAACAGCTGCTGAAGGCACAGTTGTAATACCTGGAAACAAGGTGTATCTCCAGGCCTGTAGTTTACAGGAGCACACAGGATGGAGAGCAGTGAGGGAAAGTTGCACAGTGCTGGTGATGCTTGGAAGAGTCAAGGAGAAGTTAGCTCACATGGGCAGAAGGAAGTGCTCTGGAGGCAAATGGCTAATACAGAGGTCGGCTTGCTCTGTGTTACCAGCCCCTCTGCCTCAGTTTGGACAGTGTTATTTGTATGCAATACACCTGGCCAGAAGCCACTAGGCAATTGGTAGCTGTCTCTTCCCACTCTCGTTTTCCATGGCTTCACGTTTTTTAATCGACCTGTGCATTCCACCTTGGGATGGTTTTATAGCCTGGCAGATGAAGGCCTTTTTCTGAGCATCTGCAGTCTGTAATCATCAGTTTTTATGTAAGTACATATCCTGGAGAATGAGCCCAAAGAGAAACCGCCTGTACTGTATTGGGCAAAACTCGCAGCGAAATGGCAGAATAGTTACCATTCTTCTGCCATCTGTGGTATCAAGATAAAAGCGGCAGCTCCTCGTTGTCGGGTGCCAAGCTGCTCCCTGTGTTTCTACCTGACGAGCCAGAAGACTTTTTTTTTTTGTTCCTGCTCTACTTTGGCATATTTGTTTACAGCTTCTCTCTGCATAATTATTGCTATTCCAGTCTGAAGAAACTAGCCCCGAGAAAAGAATTCAGCAGTACTGCTTCTGGGGACGGTCGATAAATAGTGTGTCTTGGATAATTTAGATTTCCCTTCCTGTTTAACTACATACACAGATTCATGACTCACATCATTTACTGTCTATTGTTTACTTTCTTACTTTACTGAATATCCACATTTTTAAAAATTCCAATGATGATCTTCCAGAAATCACTTTCTGAAATTTAAACATTCCTCACATCATAACTCAGCAATTCCTCTGCTCAGCATTTACTCAAGAGAAATAACAAATGTCTGCATAAACATTTACATGCAAATGTTCATTGCAACAATATTGATAATATCCCAAATATGGAAGCAGCCAAAATGCCCACCCATTAATGAACAGATAGGAAAAATGTGAAATACCTGTATAAACAGAATGTTATCTGGCAGTAAAAACAGAATGGGGGCAACTAGGAATAAGATTCAGTATTTAAGTCCTTGCCGTACAAATGCAAGGATCTCACATAAATGCCAGGCAGGTATGGCATGCCCACTAATTCCTGTGCTCCCTCCAGAGGCAGAGACAGGTTCCTGAGGCAAGCTGGTGAGCTAGACTAGCTGAATTTGCAAGTTCCTGGGTCAGCAAGAGAGCCTTCCTCAGTCAGGAAAGTAGATAGTAATTGAGGAAGACACCAATGTTGGACTCTGGCTTTCACACACATTCAGAATGTATATGCACATTACATACATATACATACCAAAACAGAGATGCCTATGTCTGTGTATAAAACTTAAAAATGCTTTTGCTAAGTAAAAGAGTAAGATTTAAAAAAAAAAAAAACCCATATATTGTATAGTCCCTTCATTGAAATGACTAGAATAGGTAAATTCATTGAGACAGAAAGCAAATTTGTGGTTTTCTGGGGCTGGGGAAGGATGAGATAAATGGAAATTGAGTTACCTTGGTGCACCAAAAGTGTTTTAAAAATAAATCATGAACATGACTTATTGGCATTTGCCTGCTTTTTCAGCACTCAGGATGCTGAGGCAACAAGATTGAGAATTTGAGGCCAGCCTGGGCTACATGGCAAGACCCCATCTTAAAACAACAACAGCAAAAATGTCATGATGTTTCCAAAACCCTGTGAGGGTATTAGAACATGGAACCGTGTTCTTTATCTGGGTGCATTTTATGGAATGTTCACATCTCATTAAAGCTATAAAAATGTTCTTATACACAGAGAATTAATTTTTACATTTCTTGCCAGGTACTTTAGTGACAGCCATGCCATAGTAGACAGTCATGGCATGCAGAAAAGCTTGCCTTGCCTACGTGGCTGCTGCTGTGTATCCCAGTGCAGCTGCATGACTTTAGGCAAGTGTCTCTCCCTGGACCCCAAGTCTTGATCCATAGAAAGAAGAAACTGGCTTTAGATGCCTCTGAGATACTGTCCCAACTGTGTGGGGAGGCGAGTAAATATTGGGACATCAGCCAGTCATGGTGGTATATGCCTGTAATCCCAACACTCAGGCAGGCAGGTGCAGGAAGAGCTCTGTGATTTCAAGGCCAGCCTGGTGTACAAAGCAAGTCCAGAGCAGCCAAGACTACACAGAGAAACCCTGACTCGAGAAAACAAAAAAAAATTGGGGCATCTCTGACAGCTTTGTACCTTCTTATGCTTGAGCATAACAAATAGCAGAGGACTGACTAGTAGTCTTACCTATCACATTCAAGTGGCTCTTATTAGGCAGCTAAAACATAGAGCAAAGCTGCTCCACCTTGACACTTTGGCCATAACAGGTGCTATCCTGGTCATTGTGATATGTTTAGCAGCACCCCTGACATCTATCCTCTAGATAGCAAATAGTATCTCCCTGTCCATTGTGACAACCCAAAATCTCTCCAGACTTGTGCAGCTATTGCCTGGGTGATACAATAATTTCTGGTTAAAACAACAAACAAACAGAAAACCCTCTGGTGCAGAATAACAGTTTATCAAAATAACCAAAA